GCTCCGGTGATCCTTCCACCTCAGCCTTCCAAGTAGCTGGAACTACAGGCGCGAGCTACCGCCCCCAGCTAATTTTTTAATTTATTGTAGAGATGAGGTCTCGCCAAGTTGCCCAGGTGGGTCTCGAACCCACGGGCTCAGGCAATCCACTCACCTCAGCCTCCCAAAGCGTGGGATTACAGGCTGAGCCACCGAGCCCAGCTGGATTGCTTTTTTTCTAAGAATATTTACAGTTGGAAGATGGCTCCCAAAGCAATAGAAATATGCAGTTTCCAGAAAGGGGCTTATTAGTGGGACATATTTCCAGAGTTGAAAAGATGTGGACTCAAGCACGATAAGAGATGACACCAGGCCTCTGAAAATGCTGGATAGTTTCCCAAATCAGGAGGGTGCGTGGATAACAGTAGCACCTTCACAAGATAAACAGTTGGTCTGTCATTAAAATGATTATTGGGAAGCAACATGAGACGTGCTTATAATGCACTGTTGAGTGAAAACAGCTCGCTATAAAGTGGTCTGTGCATCAATAGAAAAACCATGTCTGCCTGCAAAAGCAAAAATTAAAATCATTGTATTAAATTGAAAACAAAAAATTGGTCCCTACATAGTATTGTAGTATCCTTTTAAGAAACCTAGACTTAAAGTGATCCACCGTCAGGCAAAATGCTTTAAGAGTCATGCTTCTTTTTAATTGGTGTCTGCTATGGGCACCAGCCTCAGGGACCCTCCGCTGTTGGTTGGTGGCTGACTACTATGTTGGAGCGCCGGCAGGAAGCCATGTGACAGTGACTGTCTCTGCTCTCCGAATTGCTGGGAACTCTCTAGTGCAGATCAGCACTTTAAATGCTTTTGAAGCCTTCAAACAATTTATTGTTTTTCCAGACTGACTTCCAGTGAATGTTTTGTGCTTAGGAGGGAGGCCAGGACTTGGGGAAAGAACTTGAGGCGGCTGAGTCCAGGCAAGAGGAAGAGGTGCTAATTCCTTATACTTGGTCATCTCGTCCTTTTGTTGGAGAGGGTGGGGCTCAAACATTTCCACTTTGGTGAGAGGCAGATGGCAGATAGCTGAGCTCCTCAACACGGATGGAGGAAGTATTGTAGGGTGAAGGAAAGTCAGTAGAGGAGAATGGGGACCTGCACCTGTGGGTGGCTATAAGTCAGAAGAGTCCAAATTGGTGGCATTTATCCAATCTAATCTTTCTGGACTTCAGAGAAAATCTAGAAAAAGGCAAACCGTGTAGGATAAGAAGCTCTGGTATCGAATTTACACTTTCCCAAAAGGAGCTTAGCTATTTATTCCGAGAGAGGAGTTATCCTTTGCTAAATTTAAAATTTTTAAGAAAATGTATTTTCCTCGGTAGAGAGGGGATTGCAATGTCCCAAGTCCCTATATGCCTTGTCTGGTGGCCTGGTATGCTGGGACTTATCCCGCTTGCCTGGACATGTTTGTTCTTACTACCTGGGCATTCTGGCTGTGCCAGACAGAGCGACTGTGTAACATAACCCACACTTGAAATGCAAGGTGGACTGTGTGGTCAGGGTCTGGCTAGGGTGCCCACAGTCCTTGAGGTCATTCTGAAGTCTCCTGGGGAACACCAGAGCTTGGGCCAGCATCTGCCCAGGTGTCCATGTTACATAAATGCCAGCAAAACAAAAGGCCAGACTTCCCTGGCCTCAGGAGTCAGCTAACCTTGTTGTTTGAAGAGCCCACATTAAAAGAACGCCCCCTTGTGGACAACCATTTATAACCCCCATCTTAAAGCCAAAACAACTGAGACCAGGAAGGCTTCAAAAATTGACTCAAATAAAAAAATTAGCTAGGCATGGTGGTGTGCGCCTGTAGTCCCAGCTACTCAGGATGCTGAGGCGGAAGGATCACCTGAGCCCAGGAGACTAAGGTTGCAGTGAGCCCAACACACAAAAAGCAAACACAAAACAAGAAATCGGTTCAGAGGTGTCCAGTCAGTGGACAGCACCCGGTATCTAAGACTCAGGCCTCTTAAGTCCAAGCCTGCAGACTGGCCCCAGCCTCATGCTTCCCTGGTCCTGGATACCTGAATCCAGAGACAGCAGCAAGCAACACTCATCTCCCCTCTCGACGGAGTTTGCCTCACGCCCCTAGGCTTCCATGTGGAGGACCAGGCCACTTCCCTCACAGCATTTTCTGTTTTTATTTGTACCAAGAGATAAATGCTTTCCGAAAATTCTCCTGCGGCCTCCTGGAATGAGGCCGATTAAGCCAAACCTATCACCACACTAACCCTGTCCTACTCTGGGCCTGACTGGTGGCCCCATCAGTATCTCTGCCAGACACACCCTGCTCGGCAGAAGCAGTATTTACAGACTGTCAGCTGCGGGAAACAAGATGGGGCCCACAAGCCAAGACTGGGACAGACCTCAAAGGAAATGAGGGTTGCCTGTCCCCGATGGGCAGTTCAGGCTCAGGGTCACTGGGGGGAGTTTGGGGATCTCAGGGAGCCCAGAAGACCCTGGATGGGGGTTGCCAGGGGTAGGAGGGAAGTCTTTTTGCATTTTACAAACGAGAGTTGGGTTTATATGTTTCTGAGTCTGACCTGGGGAAAAAAACTAAGAAACTGCATTTCCAAACAGTGGTTGCTTAAGAGAAGGAAATACATTGTGTGACAGGGTGACCACAGAAAAGGCTCTATCTTGATTCCCATTTTTAATGTAAACTTAATGGAAAACACGTTTGGGGTTTTTGTGGTCCTTCCACCTGCAACCTCAGATGGTCGGGCAAAGGTGATGGGGTTGGGCAATTAAGTTGGAGAAGCATTATCCCTTCCAGGCTGGGGTTTGACCAGTAAAGGAGAACAAGATGCCAGCGAAACAAAAGGCCAAACTTCCCTGGCCTCAGGAGTCAGCCAGCCTTGTTGTTTAGAGAGTCCACAGCCTTATTCGCCCTCCCACATAAACACACTCAGCCAGAGCTATTGATGGCAGCTCAGCAGAGAAAAGGGAGACCCGGATTCAAAAGGCAGGCTGTGAGGGGGCACTGGTGAATTCTATGGTCACAGCGTGGCAAAGACAAAGACTTTGGCGCTGGGACCCTTGGCTCCCCTGCTCCAGGTGTCCAGATGAAAAGCAGGTTAAGCTGAGGGAATGTGGAACCGGAGAAAGCCCAATTGTTGGGGCTTCAGCCCACACCTGCAAAGCCTCACACTGCTCATTCCCATCTCCTTTCAGATCCCAGACACCGTCTCCAGCGACAGATGGACTCTGGAAAATTAGTTTTTCCTTCTGCTTTCACTTTGGGAAGGCCATTCCATTCTCAGCAGCAGCCACTTCATGCTTTTTGGAGCAAAAAGTGCCCCCAATACATAGATTTGCACATATGCATATGCATATACACACACATATCTACATAAACAGGTCAACAGCCAAGTAAACAATGGTTTTAATGGAAGCATAACATACAGAGAAATGCAAACACCCTAAGAGCACAACCCAAGGAGTTATCATAAAGTGAACTCACTCATTCATATGAGTACCCCCCAGGTCAAGGGGTAGAATAGAAGTCACCGTGCCCTCTCTCCATACCACCACTCCTTCTTCCCCAAAGCTAACCAATCCCGCCTTCCAGTCCCATGGGTCAGTTTTGTTTGATTTAGTCAGAAGCCTGCAGGGTTTGCTGGACTAAGGACAGGTTTTGTGGATAGACCAGGATGAGGACCCTGCCTCCTGTACTCTGGCTCTGTGAACGTGAACAAATGACATGACTTCACTGAATCGTCTCATCTGTAGAAGTGGAATAACATGTGAGTGACCTTGCATAGCTGCTGCAAAGACTAAGAGAGAGAATAGATAGAAAGTATCTGGCACACTGTGCATCTTCCAAGTGTGTTGGCTTCCCTCCTTCCCATCGTAGCTTCTACACTGTGATGAACTGGTGTCAGGAAAGACAGGAGCCCAGTGGCACATTAGACCCACACAGGATCTGCCCAGAAAGAGCATCAAGGCAGGAGAAAGCTAACCACAGAGCAAGAGGCCAAGCTCCAAGGAGGCTCTTCCTGCCTCAGAACAGGTTAAGACAAGACTGTGCTATGCTGCTCTCTAGAGCCTGAGAAACGGGTTAAATAATAATCAGAGAAGAGAAGGGAATATGGGCCCCTTGAGATAGACAGAGGCCAGATGCCCTGAGCCAGCCCCTATTCCTCTCCTTCTAGGAGTGAAACTCGAACCAAGAACAGTCTTCAGGGCAAAATCCTTTTCCTAGGTTGCCATAAAATATGCTTTTCATGCAAGTTTTGGAGAGGTCAAATGACCCTTTCTCTTGGCTTTCTGGGAGTTTCCTGTGAAATTCACATGTGTCCAAAGACGAACTTTCACCAGGGGGGAAATTTAATAAATGTGGTTTATCTAAGCTTCGTGCTCTGGGCTAAATCTGCACTAATGACTCAGGCAGTTTGCTCCTCTGAGACCATCATTTTTCTTGATTTGCTCCAGCAGCAAGGTTTTGCCTGAGGGAGAGAATGTCAGGGACAGAGAGGCAAACATTCTTGGTATTACTTCTGGGATTTTTTGGTATTCCCTTGGTACGTTTGGTTCCATTTCTTTACTTCCCTCCAGTCACACAGGATTATTTCTTATTGCAGCAGAACCCATTCATAACTTTAATTCCAGAGGACAGAACAAATGCTCAGCAAACTCCTTTATAAAGAGGTTTTTTTGTGTGAAATTGTAGTATCTATGGAAAAATGGATATAAAAATAGTAATGATAATAGCTAGCATTTATTGGCCACTTATTATGAGGCAGGGTCTGTTTTGAGCACTTTACATGCATTATTTCATTTAATCCTCACAACAGCCATATTAGTTAGGTATTATTATTATTAGCCCATTTTACAAATGAGGAACCTGTGTCTCAGAGATGAGGTAAGTTGATGGAGGCCACAAAGCTAGCCAGTAATAAGAGGCAGGCTTAATTTTAAACTCTCATTTGCATGATAACATACAGTTATGCAATGCTTAACACAGGGGATAGTTCCTCTTTGTGAGAACATCATAGAATGCACTTAAGCAAACACAGATGGCATAACCTACTACACACCTAGGCGATATGGTACAGCCTGTTGTTCCTAGGACACAAACCTATACCGCATGTCACTGTATTGAATACTGTAGGCAATTGTAACACAATGGAAAGTACTTTTGTCTCTAAACATAAAAAGGTACAGTAAAAATACAGTATTATAATCTTGCGGGACCGATGTCATATACTTGGCCTGAAACATCATTATTCCATGCACGGACATTAAAATGAACTTGTCCCACCCTCACTTTGGCATTAATATTTTTGAAAATGGATAACCAGATATAATTGATTCTTGGATATTACACTCATGTGACCATCTCATTTCTAAAATGGCATCCACCTAGCCACATTTCAGCATATAGAAGTCTCAAGTTGCCCCGACCCTGTCCTTGTTTCATTTGGAACTGCTTCAGAGCTACAAGTAAAGTCATGCTCTGGGCAGTTAGAGGAGTCTTATAAATGTGACTCTTCGTCGTCTGGCCTGGTTGCACACACACACACACACACACACACATTTTCTCTGAGGCATATAACCAAACACCCACAGCTGGATGAGGCAGCTACTTCACTCTTGCATCCCTTCCATGACTGGAGATTAAAAATAGGAGTGCCTGACAGCCCATCCCCAGTCCTGGCACCCAAGTCAGTGTGGTTGGCCTTAGGGAGCAGGAAAAAAAGTTGTTTAGAAAAATGTTCTCAGCTTCAAACACATGTGTCAAACTTAGGGTGTCTTTTGTAAAAGCAGATCCTAGTTTTGATGGCTCTTTAAAATTTCCCCAGGAGACTATCACAGAGAATCATAAAAGTGCCTAAATCTTATAAGATAGAACTCTTGAGTTCACTTTAAACAAAGGAGCAAAGCTACTTTTAGGAAGGAAAGAAAAATGTATTTTATACACATCAATAACAAAATTATCATCCCTTCAAAATGCCTAGACTAGCGCCCAGCACAGAAAGTTACACAATGAAGTTTCATTATAAAAGACTGTGTATCAGGCTGGGTGCCTGAATTCTCAGCACATTGGCAGGACAAGGCGGGCAAATTGCTTGAATCCAGAAGTTCAAGACCAGCCTGGGCAGCATAGCAAAACCTCGTCAGAAAAAAAAAATCAGAAAAATTAGCCAGGTGTGGTGGCACACACCTACAGTTCCAGCTACTAGAGATGCTGAGGTGGAAGAATCACCTGAACCCAGAAGCTCAAGGCTGCCAAGAGCCATGATTGTTGTGATCATGCCACTGCACTCCAGCTTGGGCAACACAGTAAGTTCTCAACTCAAAAAAGTATAATAATAATAGATCATATATCAGTACTCAGGGATGACAGAAAATTCAATGGATGATTCCCAGTGTTTAGTGTGTTCTCTTAGACAGGCAAAAGGAAGCAAAATCTCCCATTGGAGTACCACCACCGCCCCTCCTTCCCAACTCCAGTACTCCTCGCAACAATAACAAGTACCTTACACCTCATCCCTACCCGTAAAAGGACTCGAATGTACATAATCTTGCAGGATATCATAGCAGGAAGAAATGGTATGTTGGGTTCTCCCGCAGTGCACAGCAGACTACAGGCGGCAGGCCAAATCTTGGCCAGAACCGGCCCATTGACAAAACAAAAAACAAAAAAGAACGTGTGACCAAGACTGTAGTTAGCTTATAAAGCCTAAAATATTTACGATCTGGTCTTGATAGAAGTTTGCCAACCTCTGTTCCAGTTCAAGAAAAAAATCATTATCTAGATACATCAAGTCACTCACCCACAGTCACACAGTGAGTTTGTAACAGAACTAGAACAGATGTCGGTTGACTGATTCTCTGTGCTGTGTTCCTACCTCGACAGAGTGCAGATCCAGGCACTTCAGAATGATAAAAATGGCTGCTGGGGCTGTGGAGGGTGGGGGCGTGGCCTTTGTTTCCCCAAGGCACATTCTGTTCCAACTTGCTCTGTCTCTAACTCCATGGGGCAGTGCTATATGATTGTCTCCAAGCAAATGAATTATATTAGCTCGCCCTTTCCCTCCAGGAGTTCTCAGTTCCTCTTCCCCTCTCCCCATGTCTTCCCCTCCGCTGCTACCCACTTCTCATGCCATCTCCTATGCTTAATCTGAGAAGAATGTTTTGGCTATAACTTGTTTTTGCTTTGCCTTTCAGGTTCACTGCTGGCCTATAATACAACCTCCCACACAGACCAATCCTCACGACTGAGTGTCAAAGAAGGTAAGTCTGTTCTCCTGTGCACTTAAAATTGTCTTCAATACCAGACATAGCACAGTCCCATGCTGTTAAGATTGGTGCAGAAAATGCCAGATCTGTTGCCAGCTTTCATGTTCCACTCAGCTTTTTCTACAAGACAAGACGTCAAAGCTTTTTTCTACTTGTTCTACTAGTTGCAAAATGACAATAAACACGATTTTAAAGCATCTTGTAATAACATCATAAAGGTATAGCTTGAAGTTGTTATTCCATGAAAGAAAATGTGTTGCTTTTAGAATGAAACGGATGCCACTTCCTTTCAAAGCTTCTTAGAAGGGGGTTTTCTCTGCTGAAGATAATGAAATGAAGATTTCAAAAATTCTAGCATGTCCCTCTTTTAAGGTTTTTTTCTAACAAATTTTAGCAATGTCAATTTGCTTTTCAAATGGTTTGAGGATTTGGGCTGGTTTGGTTTGGTTCAAAATCCTAATGGAGTGTGGGGTTTGGTCGAGAGAAAGAAAAGCTTCTCAGCAAATGATTTTTACCAATGAGGATTTTAGCAAACATCACAATCGCATTTCTCAGCACCTTTACTCATGAAAGATCACCTTGAGGATTGGTGCAGATACTGTGTTAGATTTTAGGCATTTAAACAAGTGAATGATTCATGTCCCTGGTTTAAAGGGAAAAAGATGTGAACAAATAATTATTAGGAACCAGCAAAGGAGTGAACAAATCTTCCCACATCAAAAGACAAATTTCATGGAGGAGGGGACTTTTGAGTAGGAACATGAAGAGTGACAGGAGTGTGTCAGGCACTCCCTCCTCCTTGGCTCACTCTACTTCCGCATTTGTTCCTTTCCATAATATAGAATGAAGGCAGAAATTTCCAGTATCAGTTGCATATAATGTTTCAGGGAAATATAAGGCTCTTCAAAGGGAATAGACCATTTGCTTCAAAATCCAAAGAGACATGGAGAAAATAGAGACCCAAAGACATTAACCAGGTCTCTTACCCAAGGTTATACTTTTGATCACCTTGGACTTTGTGTTTCCTGTTAACAAGTTATAATTTGATAATGACCAGATCTTTTCGTGGAAGAATCTGCTTTTAAACCTTTGTTTTTTTCATTGCTTTCTTCTCTCCCACACCACCTGAGCCAGTCCTGTTTCTACTACTGTTTTTCCTTTCCAAATCAGATTTATTGAGTTTTGCGATGAAGTTATATGGATTCATTCTGCAGTCTGAGCCTCATTTTACTTAATGACCTATTATAACATCATGTTGCAAATGTCTACGAGAGAAAATATATTTTAGTGACAAATACATTAGATTGAAGGTCAGGGCATCTTTGGCTTACTTTGGGGAAATCACATCATTTCCTGTCAAATGAAAGGGCTGAACTCAGTGAGAGTCAGGCCCTAACTCTGGAGCTCTTGGCTTCTAGGAGATGAACGGGAGCCATAGCATGAGGGTTCAGCCCTCATCCAGAAGCCACTGTGCTTTGATTTGTTTAGCATGCTGAGTCTTATTTCATTTGCACATAGGGATCCATTTCTTGAAAGGAGGGAAAAGATAAAGAAAAGAAAGGACTGACTGGAGGAAGGAAGGAATGAAGGAAGGGAGGGAGGGACAGGAGGAAATGAGGAAGGAAAGGAGAGAAGAAAGGACGGAAGAAGAGGGGAGGCAGGGGAAGGAAGGGACCCAAGGGAAGGGAAGGACACTAAACCTCCGAACTGCTGGGCTAGATTCCTTTCAAGCTCTTGCAACTCTCCAGCCTGTGGACTACTAACAACATCAGAATTGGCCAATGAGGCTCTGGGACAAAGCCAATGAAAGATTTTATGATATTGAACTTAAAATACAGGTTTTAGTTTAGAAACCAGTTTATCCAAGTTGAAACGTGCTGCTAACCAGCCCCCTCCTCTGAGCAGTGCTCAGCCCTATCCTCTACCTGTGCTTCCTTCCCCGGGCCCTTTGTGCTTGGGGACTGCATATGTAACGCTGCCAGCTTATTCAGGCTTATTGCTGGAGCTGCGCGCTCGTGCAGGGTAGCAACCCCTCTTCTGAAAAGAATTAACTGTAGTATCCAGGCAAACGCACGCCGCAGGATCCTCATTCAGGTGGTGCTGAGCATTTATCTCCCAACATCCGCCCTGGCCTCTAGAGATGATTAAGTCTGCTTTGCAGGTGCATCTTTTGTCCCCAGTAAAACCCTCCACTTGAGCTGTCCTGCTCCCCTGCGCCTCCCCCTACTGAGGTGGTCTGAATCTGTCTGAACCACCCATCAAGCCACAAAACAAAGTACATTAGCAAGACAAAGCTAACTGGGTTCTCCCCCCTCCTCACTTTCCCCCCTCTCCTGCTCACTCTAATAGCTATCTATTAGCTATTAGAAAACATCCTGCAACCTTGGCTCCATCTTCTTTGAATAAGACACACATACAGCCCCAAACAAATCCAGAGTTCATCAAGAGCACCAGAGTGCGCTCTCTCTCTCTCTCTCTCTCTCTCTCTCTCTCTCTCTCTCTCTCTCTCTCTGTGTGTGTGTGTGTGTGTATGTGTGTGTGTGCGCGCACACGCATGCACGTGTGCTCACATACACGCACATGCATTCCCCAAAGGACAGGTGCTGGCATCAAGCACAAAGGAACAAAGTTGAGAAGATGTTGTCTATTAACAGGTCTGCAAGGCACTTATCAAATTAGAATGGTTTTTTGCTTTAAAATGGCATAATCACCCTTCCAGATTGTCTCTAGAAAATGGCTGCAATCTTTAAGGGCTATTTGTGCCCAGGAAATAAGACTAGATTTTAAGAATTAATTTATAACGATCTTTAAGCCCCTTTGAATTCAATATGCTGTGAATGTGAATTGGACCCAGTTAGAGGGCTTGTGCTCTCTCTACCTTTACTTATCAAGGCTAATGCATTTGAAAAAATAAATTAGGACAGAAGCTATTGTAATCCATTTATAATAGCAGCCACAATGGCCATCTATAAAACATTTTTGGAATATATAGACACCTTCACATGCTTTGCTTCTGAGCCTTTCAATGGGTCTTTGAGGCAGATATTATTATTACATTTTGCAGACAAAGAAAGTGAAGTTTGGTAATATTAAGTGACTCACTGACGGGCACACAGCTACTCAATGGCAGAGCAAGGACTCAAACCCAGGTGAGAGGGTTGAACATCACTTGCTTCAGGTGGTCTTCCTGAGTGATACAACTTTGCCCTTCCAGCTGCCTTTTCATAAAAGCAATGCCTAGCCTAAATGTAATGTGGCAGAGATGTTCATTTTTTGCATCATTTCTCTCTGTCCCTGCAGTTTTCCCACTATCAGCTCCATCTCCATCTCTAAACTATGCTCTTTTTTCAAAGATGAACCCATGCACATCCTCTTCTTGGCACCAGCCCCTATTTCCAACTGCACAGATGATCACCTGGAGAACTTTTTAAAATACTGACATCCTAGGATAAATATTATATGGCTCCACTCATATGAGGTAACTAAGTAGATAAATTTATAGAGCCAGGCTGGGCACAGTGGTTCACATCCCAGTATTTTGGGAGGCTGAGGCAGAAGGATTGCCTGAGCCCAGAAGCTCAAGACCAGGCCAGGAAAAATAGCGAGATCTTGTCTTTACAAAAAAAAAAAAAATTGCCAGCCATGGTGGCATGTGCCTATCATTCCAGCTACTTGGGATGCTGAGGCAGAAGAATCACCTGAACCCAGGAAGTTGAGGCTGCGGTGAGCTGTAATTGTGCCGCTGAACTCCAAAAAAAATTTTAACCCCAAATTTATAGAACCAGAAAGTAGAATAGTAGTTACTGGAGTTGGGGGGAGGGGAGGTTGGGAGTGGAAATAAGTACTTATTATTTAATGAGTATAGAATTTCAGTTTGGAGAGATGAAAAATTTCTGGAGGTGGTGGTGATGGCTGCACAGCTATGTAAATGTACTCAATACCACCAAACTCTACACTTAAAATGACTAAAATGGTAAATTTTGTTATATATATTTTATTAAATTTCTTAAATGCAGAAATTAAAATAAAAAAATACTGATGCCCATGCACCAAAAATGATCATTAATTCAGAATCTACAGGGATGACTCCTGGAGATTTTTTTTAAGCCCACCAGCTTACTCATATAAGCCAAGCTGCAGCCAAGCTTGAGAAGCCTTGCTTTATTGTGCAGAAACAAACTAGAGAGAGAGATATGAGACCCAGCTCAGAGTTACTCCAGGTTTCTTTGGAGATTTGTTGGGCAGCTGATCTTGTCTTTGCCTGGCCCCAAATCATCGTAGAAAAGGAAAAGCAGGAGCTAATTGTTTATTCATAAAGGTCTGGGTAAGTGAAGGGACCATCTGATCAGGATTAGTTTTTTCAGCATTGTCATTGATGATTAATTTTATTGAATTATGATATTATTGATTTTTGACAACTTTACATTAGTACGGCACTCTTGCATCTCAGAAATTCTTTTCCTGCATGTCCTCATTTGGTTCTCTAAAAAGTGGATATTGTGTTGGTAACTTGATTTTACAAGCAGGACCTTGGGGTTCTAGAAGTTAAGTGGCCTTTCAAGTATATATGAATCCTGGAGCCAGGGCTACCGACTCCATATCTCTTTCTCCCATCCTCCTGGGCTGCAGATGTGAGTGTGTCCGCCCTGGTCGCAGGTCAGAGCTTCACTTTGTTTTTCTGGGCAAACCCTGCCCTGGGGCCTTCACAGAGCCCTCAGCTAGACCAGCAGCGGCAGGAATCAGGAATCAGCGAATCTCCTCCTCAGAGCTGCTCTGCATGCCTAAGCCCTCATTTCCTTAGTTCCTCATGCCGAATCTGTTTAAATACCTCTGACTCTTCAAAAGACAGAGAATATTGAGTTCCTTGTTTATTAACTCCTGGAACTCATCAGTCCGCCAAGGGCCCGTGGAGCGCTGAGCTTCTAGTCCCTGCCTGGGAGCCTTTCAGGACCTGCTGCTGAATGCGGAAACCGAAAACCACAGCCCCTCTTGCG